TACTGCGAACCATACAAATATTACTAAAAACATAACAATATTTACCATAAACCATATTTACCATATAAACCATATTAACTGCGAACATACTATAAACCATAACTATAACTATAAACTGTACTATATAAACCATACTACAAACTATAAACCATATTTACTGCGAACCATAAAAATGTACCAGGAACAAGGTAGCAAGAATCCATGAAATTTGATTCTCGACGCCAACGCCATGGGTTTGCAGGGGGATTGGGTGGGGAATGTAAAGCAAAATGAGAACATGGCAGCTAAATAAAAGCTCACTTTATGGCACTATAGTGGCATGGAACATGGATGCCAATGAGATGCTGGGTTGAAGGGATGTAGGGTGGGGAGTTAGGTTAGGTTAGGTTAGGTTAGGTTAGTAGGTTAGGTTAGGTTAGGTTGGTTAGGTTAGGTTAGGTAGGTTAGGTAGGTTAGGTTAGGTTAGGTTAGGTTAGGTTAGGTTAGGTTAGGTTAGGTTAGGTTAGGTTAGGTTAGGTTAGGTTAGGTTAGGTTAGGTTAGGTAGGTTAGGTTAGGTTAGGTTAGGTTAGGTTAGGTTAGGTTAGGTTAGGTTAGGATATGTTCTGGACTATTCTGGCCTGCATGTTTCATAAATGTACCTAAACTCGATAAGAAACGATTTTGGTTGTTTTATTATTGTTACCTTGGTCCCGTACATGTTTTATGGTTCTTGATAAGCAGAAATATTGTGCTTTCGCAACAACGTAGAAACGGCGCTTGGAAGTCGAGGCAATGCGGTGCGGGGCGTGCGGCGCTCGGGTGCTCGCTATCGTATTGATTAAAATTCGAGGGTAGGAGCATGATTCTATCTGTTTTGAAATTATTTACGATATGTTCCGCCTTAAGCACGACGAATGGTTTACCTTGGTCCCGTACATTTTGTAGAGTTCTTGGTAAGCAGAAATATTGTATTTACGCAACGGCAACGTAGAAACGGCGCTGGGGAGTCCAGGCGGTGCGGTGCGCGCGGCGCTCGGGGGCCCGCCATCGAAGTTATTGAAATTTGAAGGTAGGAGCGTGATTCTACCTGTTTTGAGATATTTACGATATGTGCCGCTTGAACACGACGAATGGTGTGCAATGATTTTTTCTAACGTTAGGTAGGAAAGTACACCTACACCACCACTAGTGTTGTGACATCTTGAAAATGTTTTAAGCTTGTGCCCACAATAAATTTGGGGGCTCAGAGCTTGATGTGTAGTCATCACCAATCTTAGTGCATGTAGAGGTGTTGCCGGTGTAGGTGTACTTTGCTACCTAACGCTAGAAAAAATCATTGTACACAATTTGTCCTGTTTAAGGCTGGACATGTCATAAGTAATCTCAAAACAGGTAGAATCATGCTCCTACCTTCAAATTTAAATAACTATGGGTGAGCTACCGAGCGCCGCACACACCACACCGCACCGCCTTGACTCCCCAGCGCCATTTCTGCGTTGTTGCATAATTACAATATTTTGGCTTATCAAGAACCATAAAAAATGTACCGGGCTGAGGTAACAATAATAATGCAATGAAAATCATTTCTTATCGCGTTTAGGTAAGTCAGTTTTGATCTCATGTCTCTATGCAGAGCTATGTTGTTGATCAGGGGTTTACCACTGAATGGAGCAGCAGTGGGACTTTTACTCTTGTGGAACTTTGTATCACCCCCTGGTGCAAGTAAAAATCTTATATGGTGCTAATGGCTTAGTCTCTCAGATCAAAAGCCTTGCTGACATGAGCAGGACTGCTTGCTGCTTTTTGTTTGCCCTTGCCAAAATCATCATCTTGCAGACCATTCTCCAAATCCTGGTGATGGCTGTGGGGCTAATTTTTGATCTCCCATTAAAAGAGGATTAACATGTCCTCCATTCCTGCATGTACTGCCTCTGCCTTGGGCTTATCTTACATTATGTCTTAAGGTTGTCTGTACTTGACCTCCAGACTGCAATAAGTGCATAGTTTGGGTAGCATTCATAACATAGATGTTATATTTAGGGACATTGCTGGGTGGCATATCAGTGTGTTCAGCCTGAGGGTGTGCACTCTGTAACTTTGAGTGCTCAGAGTTCTGTGCATGTTTGTCACCATTTTCAGCACAGAGAGCCTATGTTTCACAAAATTGTGATGTTGCAAAGATACTGCAGGCAGAAACACTCACAAAACATTTTTCACAAATATTTTGAAAATAATGCACAATTTGACATGGTGTCAGACATGAGTGGAGCACACACTTTTGCAAGGATTAGTGTGCTGATGTCAGGTGGACATCTGGAGCAGTGGATGGACATTTGGAGACTAGCTTGATCCTGTGATCCATGGGGATTCATAGTCTGACTGGATACAAGGTGGCTTCCAACATCTGCACCCTAAAACTCCAATCATCATTGTCATCTAACTGTGGGATTTATTCTATTCATTAGGATCAGTTGCTTTGTGTAATGCCAGGCATTTCATATAAATCATGCTGCAGATAAGATGACCACTGATGTAAATCATTCTCACACATGTAAGTTTGATGGCATAAACAATTGCTAAAGCAAGCCATTACATTTACTGTACTCTGCACAGGTGTGAAGAGCCTTCCAGTCAGCATGTACAGGGCCATGCGAAAGCTGGTGTGTGTGACTGGCGCCACCCTGGGGCCCGTTCGCCGTGCCCTGACCCGGCTCAGCGAGGCCACATTTGGTCGTCATCTGCTCCTCACCAATGTCTCAGTATCTGTGTTGCTGTCAGCACTGGGGGACTCTCTTCAGCAGAGGTATATGAGGCTGTCTTGAAACCCAATGATGTATGTCTATCCATCATATCTATGGCTGTGGTAGTGCATGGTTTGGTTATTGTACTGTTGATAAACCCATCAACGTAACTGATTATTTCATGCTGTAGTGTCTTTCTTCTGCACTGAACATCAAATTGCGCACATGTGTTAACAGCTGTCATTGGTAAGCTTTGGCATTCCCTGTTATGGTTTATCAGTGTATTCGCACATTATGCTTTGTACATTACTTTCAACTCCTTTTTTTGTTATGTGAACGCTCTAGGAGACCTGTTCCTTACTGCATTCAATGACGAGTGTCCTCCATTATTTAAAGAGGCAATAGCTGGTGGGAAATCATGTTTTTCATTGGAAAACCTGTCTGAACAACCCTTGCTTGAAGATTTTATACAAAACCTGTTCAGTTCATAATATGTACAGTACCACAACACAAAGGATCACACCAGACAGCACGCCTTAAGACTCCGGCGTACCCCGCCGTGACGACCTGCCCCTGCGCCACCTCGGGCGCCGCCTGCCCCGCCCCTGACCGGCGGCGCCGCCTGCCGGGTAGGTACCAGATAGAGCGGGGCGCGCGTCGCAGCTACGACCGCCACCGGCTCGGCTACATGTCCGGCTGCGGCCTGGGCGTCGGCTTCCTCTGCCACTACTGGTACCTGGCGCTCGACCGACTCTGGGTCGGACGCACCATCGGCGTCGTGGCCAAAAAGGTAGCAGTGGGCAAGTGTCTGGCGCCTTGCCGCTGGGGGAGGTAGTAGATAAGCGTAACAGAGTGCACTAGGGCTACGGTGCAGGGCTGCTTCGATGGTTTGGTCGCCGTTTTTTCTTTTGTACCGGAGCATCCATCGAGTATGCTGAAAATTTGACGAAGGGAAAGGCCAAAAATTTAAGGTGTGTGCCATTGCAAGCTATGTGCCGTCGTATCTGCTTGCAAATTGAACAGCCAGCAAACTCCACAGCCTGTCTAAGCAGCTTTAACTGAGCATCAAAAGCTCATATCCAGTCATCCCTGCAGATGGTGTGACGTTTTTTCACCTACAGTTTCGTCAGGGGCACATGCCTCTCAGTCGATGGCTCTGCTAGTGTGGCGCCTAGTGCATGTTGCGTGCTGAAAATAAATTCAGTCGATATTCAGTCCCATGTGTAAGAGCTGGTCACACCCCAGCGCCGCATGGACCTCCGATTGACGTGGCACCCGTCCACCAGGTGCTGCTGGACCAGGTGGTGTTCTCGCCGATCCTCATATCGACCTTCCTCGTCTCGCTGGAGGTCCTGCGTGGCCACGGCGTCCAGGACATGGCCTCCACGCTAAAGGCCAAGTTCGCCAGGCTCTACATCGCAGAATGGACCATCTGGCCCCCTGCGCAGGCATTCAGCTTCTACTGTTTGCCCACTAGGTATGAGCGCGCTGGTTAGATTGGTAACCCTGCATTCATCAAATGCGGGTAGAAAACTGTGGGTGGAAGATCGCAGTAAAAAGAGTGCATGAACTGATGTTTAGCTTAAAGGCGTTGTGACCGCATGCGTCAGGTTATTACATACCATGGAGGTCGTTGAACTCTCGTAATGGCCAGAAAAGGGGTATTGAAAAGAACATGATGGAAAGATTGAGATGGTCTTGTTAAGTTTGCACGTAATAAAAATTATTGTTACTGCATTTCCTGGGTTAAGCTTGGTTGTACTGTAAAAAAGGATTATGTTACGTTAGATCGAGTTCGTTAAAAGTTTGTTGCGGTCTAATCACGGGTGTCGGTTATTTGCGGATGAGTTGCCCGCGAAGAAAATGCTATTATTTCCCCCCCTCCCCCGCTCTTTTGTTTTGCACCCGGCATTTATAACGCGACTGTGCATTTGGCAGCACTGCTGCGTGTTTTTTTTGGCAGCAGCATTTGCGCATAGCAACTTTTCCCGGCACACATTTGTTTCCGTTGTTGCATGCGACATTCACTCATGATCTTTCGCTGAGCGATATTTGAGTGCTGCGTACGATATTTTTGCAGCACAACTTTGAAAGAGATCTTATCATATGAATCTTAAACACGCGCCAGGAAGGCCGGTTTAATACCCCTCGCTCAGTGGGAGGTCGATTTGACTCCCACCTCGTGCGATCTCGAAAACTAAGACAGCTAGAGACGTCAAATTCACGGTAGATTGGCCTGTATTTAAACTCACTTTTGTCAAATGTTGAGGTTCCCAGGTCATGACCTTGGGATCAAATAAGGCCGAAAAGTTCAAACTCAAGGTAAGTGTCTGAAGTGCCCATAGACCTCCTCATGCAACCAACATGAGCTGGGTACCTGTTGTAGGCAAAGGGTCATTGGTGTTAAATTAATGTCGATGACTTGGTTTAAGATTACTGAGGTCAGAGTGGCCAATCACCCACAAGATTGCTCCTATCTTGCTATCTAAATAGATGTCAGAGATTACACAAGACAGTATATGTTTAAAGGAAATATGTTTAATGAGCCATTTTAGGTCAGTGGCATATTCCAGCCTTTGAAAGCTCCATAGTGCGTGTCTGTTGCGGTTCCTGTCATTAATAGTCAGAAGGCGTTCCAGAAACTGCCTCATAAATCAAGCACTCAACTAAGAAGCAGCCTCATTTTGACCTGTATTTGGCCTTGATACCTAAGCCTAGGTCAATGGAATTCGCTGCTATTCTAAATTTGGTAGATTGAGTGTCTAAGAAACTATCTCAGATATGTATAGCTCTGCCTAACACTCTGTTGTTGTATCATATTGAACTATTCCCTAGAAATGCCCTTAGCTGACAGCCATGGTCTGACTTTGACCTGCTATAGGTCAGCGATCTTACCAGGTACATCTAATTGTTTGCATAAAAGGATCCACTATTCAGTTATCTACAGTTGTGCAGAGTTTGGTGTTTCTATGCTGCGCCGTCCAGAAACCATTCTGGAAAAACCCTCGGTGGTAAAATTACCCCTCACCCAGGCGCGTATTAACCCGGCTGTCACTGGGTACTACTAGACTAGACTTATTGTGGTGCCTTTTTGTCTACTTCTGTCTTCGTAGCTGAAGAGTGCATTGGGCCGATGAGAAGTCCAAATGAAGATGGTTTTGTTGAGGCAGACCTCACCATTGGCGTGACCGGTTCCGCCAGAACCAAATATTCGGACTGATGGGCATACACCATATTTTATGCGGTTACCGGTGAATTAGACAATTATTCAAATCAAAGTGATGAAATAATACATTCAGTAGACAGTCCAGCTGTTCAGGACGATCGGCACTGTTTCGAGTCACTGGCAATATCAGCTAAGAGCTGTCTCGGCTCTGGATTGGCTCCGTCGTCGTGTCGCCGCGACCCAATAAGCAACATTGAGATCTGACAGGCCACATCCCTCCCCCTGTTGCAGGTACCGGGTGCTCTGGGACAACACCGTCTCACTCGGCTACGACGTGTACACCTCGTACGTCGTGCACGACGATGACGACGACGACGACGACCTGCCGCCGCAGCAGATGGGTGCGATAGAGCGCGTGATGTACGACGCCAGGAACTTGTGACCGGAGCCTCAGCGCTGGTGACGACCGCTAGTCTGTGGGGCCGCTAGCGAGAGCTCGACCCGCCACCACTCGGGGGCTGCAGCAGAGCTGGTACGACACCAAAACCCGGCCTTAAAACAGATATGCATCAGAGACCGTTCGTGTCCAAGGAGCCTTTGTTGTGGTTCGCTTCCCCACGCTGTCAACAGTCGACGGTGATTGGCGAATAAGGACGCGGCGAATGCTGCTTTAAACATGGTGCGCTTACAGGCGACCAGCGGTTCGTTTATCCATATCAGTTTTTGATGGGCTCCGGGTTCGTGGGGTTCCCTCTCGTTGGCGGCCATAGAGTAGTACACATACCGTGTGGTAGAGTGCACCGGCCCAGCTCCGTTTGAGAGTGGCTGTTCTGTTCACTAAGATGCCATCCGGGTGGTCCCAGGACCAGTCACTTTGCTCAGACCATGGCGAAAGGTGTGTTGCTTTTGGTCTGGGTGTGCCTCACATTGCAGGATATGTGTTGGGTGTGTGAGGAGGGGTGAGCGAGAGCTACATAACGTGCCTTCATCCGTTAGTGTGTTTGTGGTGTATTGTATAGCGTCGCTGAATCGATTAGATCATGATGCGCAATCAACAACTTTCTGAGGCGATTGTAGAGACATATTGTATTGCTGGCAAGGGTCACTACAGCACAGATCAGCCACATTGCAGTGCGAAGCTAGGGGAGTTCTGATCACTTGGTGAGGTGTACGGTACTACGTCGGAGCCTGGCATAGCTCGGTTGTATCTCTTTATGTAGGCACAATAGCGCAGAAGTCCAGTCCGCCGAACTTATGGATTTAATGTACGGATGGCTGAATTTAACGTCTTGTTACCTCATTTGACGTGTTTAACTAGGTTGTCAGACATTTACAGCATCGACCGAGATCTTCGAAATGTCGTACCTGGTGGATTGGACATAGTGACGTAGATGTACTGATTTGAAGATATACCCGTCTGATGGCATATAAGTGACAGTGTACGTATTGATGTGATGTGTTCATATGGAATGGCGCCGTCTGTATGATGTGTTGAAACGCAGGTATAGAGATGCTGGTCGTGACTGACTTCGGCTGGTATCGTGCATACCGTAGGCGCGCCAGTAACTTGAGGATGTTGGGCGGTCGTCAGGGAAGAATGCCGAGCGGTTCCCGCCCCGGGCCTTCAAGCATTGCGGCTGTGACACTGTCGAGGGTACAGCACTGCACCAATACAAATGGAGCTGGTTGTGCAGATGGATCTTGTTGCCGCCGAGCCACACCCGCGGCGGCGCGCCGTCGCGTGGCAGAGGATCACTGTGCGGCGCCGCATTGCCGTCGTCCGAGTGGGCACTTCGCCCCGGGCACGGCAGAACGGAGCGATCACCACTGAACCCCGACCGTCTTGTTGACGCGCACGGCTGGGGCTGCGGCTGGCACTGCCAGCGTGCCGTCCATCTCAGCCTGGCGTGTCGATCGCCACCGCTGCCGTCTGTTCAAAACTGGTCGACACTTCGCTGGTGAATGTACTTACATGGCACAACGGAACACTAGACGGGGTGGGGACACGGCACGGGCGCAGCAGCCAGGACGACCTCACTGATTCAACAGCGTGCCCTTGACTCTCCGTCGCTTGGGGTCCTCCTCCGGCTCCGGCTCCGAGTCCCGCTTCAACATGCCCTTCCGCACCAGCTGCTTCTTGATGATCCGCGCGTTCTGGGCATACGAGTCGGCCACCTCGCGCTGAAAAGAACACGAGATCACATGGTACCGACCGCCTCGACGCGCACAAGCGAACCAGGACACCAGTCCTGATAGAATTGACTTATTATCTGATAGAATTAAGGACTTACCTGAGGCAATTCTTAATATGTGCGGGCGTCGCTAAATGGGTTGGGTGCCCCATCATAGAATACAACACGCTGGCGAGCGCCTGGTGCCGCATGCGCGTGAGTGGTGGGGAATCCGCGCGCCTACCTCCTCGATCTCGTCCTCCTCCTCGTCCATCGTCGAAACCGTGACGGATGAGAACTTGCCCATGGTTTTAGTGTGCTTGGTGATCATGATCTTCTCCTTTGCTGCACTGGTAACCTGAGGGACACGGCAAGCAATGTTGTGGAAAAAAGTCGTTACGGTATGAATGCAGTGTAAGTAACACTAAGCATACAATCTCTCATGTAATATACCGGATCAGTTGAAAACATGGGTTTGTTATTCCACGCACCGTGCCCTGGGGCAGTGCGTGAGAAATTTTTGTGCAAGAGCTCCTGTTGCAAATGCCAGTGAGAATGACAAACATGCACGACGCGCCTCTCAATGTAATGCTGTGATCCATGTCACAGCCCGTTCCGTAACATACAAAAGTCCGGAACTCGACAGAGCTCCATCAAGGTGCACATAGTGACCATAACTGATCATCGACGTACCGTCGCCTCCAAATCGCCACACCGAGTTCCTACAGCAGCCTCGTCCGTCACATTCCACCCGCATTGCCTAAAATGCAACGCTGAAATGCCCGGTGTGCCCACTTACGTCATAGCATGGGGAAGGCCGTCCCGTCCAGTTACCTGGTTGTAGATGTTGTTCTGCACGGACTGGACCAGGGCGGACTGGACGATAAAGGTGACATTGCTTGACGCGCCGTGTCTGTAGTACAGCCACAGGCCACACCTGCGCCGATACATTAAACAGATAAAGATGCAATACAAAGGCATAGCCAACAAACATTTTAGCAAGCATAGTGTGGTGAGCAGGGGAGCTAAATTTAACATTATGTCCCAATCTGGCAAGTACAAACAGCACAAACCTACATGATGCTGGTCTGCATCATTCACCATATCTTTATCCCCGTATCTTTTACGAATCACTGAAGCATATTATCCATTACTCTCGATATCGGTGATCACAACGATCCAAATCCTTTCTCGCGAATAACGCCAGGCATTCCACGAGGATGACATATCCCCAGCATGGATACAAGAGTTCGAATCAATAGGCTCACTTTGAGCACTTTTTCCGGTGCTGTTTCTCGATGCCCCCCTCGCGGCGAAGGTGCACGACCTCGTCGTCAACGCAGGTCAGCTTGTGCGCGTGCTTGCTGCCGTCGATGACACGCGCACCATCCCGGGCTCTGAGTGGCAGTTTCTCCAGGGGGCGATCTGACAATATGTGTAACGATCAGCGGAAACACTGACGGTCCTGGTTCAGCCGCGAAACAGGTCCGTCGACGCTTCCGCCGTGAAACCATCAAGTCTACAACAAATAGTCCAATTCAAGAGTACATGATGTTGCTGTGGCAGGATATAAAAGGCAAATCAATTTTCTGCAGCATGGTGGCTTGCGCAACAGTTTTGCCCAGTGTGTGATGAAGTGGCTTCCAGGCAAGTTTCCACCACCATTTGATATCCACACAAAGTATTTTACCTTAGAAGGGGGGTATTTACTACCACAGGCTGTGACATGGTCTTCCACCATTCTTACATTAAAGCTGGTATGGTCTTGTGCTGTACCTACATCAAAAGTCAGTGCAGCTGTGACAGCAGCAAACTATGCTCAACATATGCTCTGATCTTAATGTCAGTTGAGCAATCAGTTAACACAACTAGTTTTTAATAGAAAAGGAACTAGAAGCTGATCTCACTAGGGTTTGTTCATGAGCATGATGCAAATTTTGACCACCATAACAATACTAACATAAATTCCAGCCTGACTAATTCTACCTAGCTCAGGTATAGGGCCCTCTTTGATATGAATTTTGGTAATATACAGGTGGCTACAAGTACATAGGGATGGCAAAAAGGGGCTCATAAAATTTTGAGAATACACTTTTTATGAGGAGGCAGAGTACTCTTACACACTACCTCCAGCATAGGAGGCAATGCCCCCTCTACCCCCCTGCTACATTTTTATAGGCACACATAACAAGTTAAATATGTTGAAAACCAGACACAGTTAAGTCAAATAACTTAAACACAAACAAGTCAACAAGGGTGACATCATCTAACACTCAGCTTACCAAGTACAGCAGTCATTTGACCGCAAAGGCAGTAGTATGTGTGGAGAGGCTTGTCATTGCTGTACTCTTCCTTATCCTTGCTGTCTGTGCAAACCAATGATTGGGAAACAACTTTTGGCATTTTAAAGCCTGAATAAAGCAAACACAAATGCTAAACAAATGAGTGGACCTGGAAATGGAATTATGTTAGAAAAAAGCATGTTAGTATGAATACAAAATGCTCTGAAAGACATTTTATCCAACAGGGAGTTAAGACTAGATAAGACAGTAGTAATAGGCCTATTCCTTAGAGAAAACCCAGATGGGCAATGCAGGAATAGGGGTTTTACTTCCATCTCATCTAAGCAAATAACGTTCCTCACTAATGAACTGCAGCAGCTTGTTAACTTAGAACTATCATAAGGCTTTAATGTCAATATCAGCTGAGACTCTCACTGCATGAGCCACTATGATATTTACAATTTTGACATAAAAAGCAATACAAATTACAACTGAGAATTGTAACTTCAGATGATTGTTGGAAGACAATGAACCTTATTTCAAACATACAAAACCACACAGGAACTTTAAAAACAAATTCAACCCACCATCCTTATACGCTTCACATTGAGGGCTGAACACTGCAATACATGCTGGATATATATTACAGCAATACAAAAATGTTTTAAGGGGCAAGAGCTAACATCTATTGTTCATGATACTGGGTTAAATATTATTTTTCAGATCACAGTTTTCTGCTTGTTCTAAAACACAACGTTTGTTACCTTTGAGCATAACTTATCCTGCTGACAGCCCGCAAATGCATGTGGGTAATGCCTACCAGGTGTTGCCCACACTGGCGACCCCCGCCCCCTAGCAAATGACACTCCCAAATAGGGTGACACTGATCACCCTTTTCCAGTACCCACCCTGGGGCTCCGATTCTCGAAGGCGGATCAGCCTCGGTGCAATGCTACTTCACCGTCCTTCTCTCGCAGTTATCTACGTTGTTTGATTGGTTGACAGTGGAATATAAATATGCGTCGCCCCTCAGTGCTGAAAATGTTTGTAAATGTATTTGCTCCTTCGTGTCTGTATTACAAACATAGTGGTGAAAGCTATAGAAAAGCCTTTCATCCAAGAACGTTTATTTGCACAAATTATATGACTTCCAAGGGAAAATCACCGATAAGTATGACCAAAATGTGATTTGTTCGTGAGCAATGATCATATCAAGCAGCCTTAAACATACAGTTCTCGTTTTCGGCAGAGTTTTGAGTGTGTCATCACTACCAACAAAATAGCGGCGGCGACGGCGGCGGCGCGATTTCGTGAACGCGTGTGAACGTTTGATTATAACGTGTGGTTTATTAGTCATCGAGAATGAAGCTTGTAAGGTAGGACCTGCTGTCTTCAATTCCTTGCAATTTTTTGTTTTTTAAGTGTGGATGCTGACTTGCTTGCAGCTATAATTTCAGATAAGTCATGTGCGTTGCACTGCGCCGATAACGTCCTTTGGGCCGGCGCGTGGATACCTTCAAAGTTACCAGCGCAAAATGCAACGTGGAAAGACAGTAAAGGGGTTTTGAATCGGTATAAACTGGTTTTAGGGGCTTCTTAGACGACTGGTTGATGTTGAGCATATTCACCCTAAAAAATGGGTTGCATTGCATGTCAAGGTATAGGGCATAGTGTGCCCCATTTCATAGTTTTTTTTTCAAGGAAGGCGGTGCATATGCAGCCTCCAAATTGGAGGCTGGTTATGACCCAGGATTACACACCCTCCAAAATGAATGGTGGTTACACATCAGGCTTATGGATCCCCCAAAGGGAGAAAGGCTATGCATGAGGCCTATACAGTGATACACTCTCCAGAAATCTTAAGATTGAACAATTGACTTATTGCAATGATAAAAAGCCAGAGTTGTGAGTCAGAAGAGCAGGTGATGTTGGCTATAAATAAGAGACAGTCATCAAGTTGTCTCCATCTACTCTAGGCCAATTTTCTATGCATCTGAATTGCAGACAATTGCATTTGAAGGCACATTAGCCAGGTGGTTTATTTAGCTGGCTCTCACAGTGAGCCTGGGCTCTGATCCCAGGGATGGTAGAGTCCTCCAGCAGTGCTATGACCAATATGCTGTTTTACAGATGGATGTTCCTATCTCATTACATTTGATGGTGACATAAATAATGATAATGTCACACCTGTCTTAAAAGAAAAAAACAATAAAGTCCTTGGTACTGAAAATTGCTGTAACTTTTGATACCAGTGGGGGAAACTTCCCCCTTGTTGTGGACAGTTGGCCAAATTTGAGCAGAAGCTTGCTTGTTATGGTAGGTGTGGGTGGACACTTTTGTTATTCTACACTTTTCTGCTCCTCCTAAACTCAATTTGCAAAAATACGCCCATGGATTCTAGGCCTGAAGTGCCATTCAGGTAACCACAAGGAAATATCAACTGGGAGTGCCCTAAATCTGATATGTCAATGGGTAGGCCATGCTGAAGGTCATTTAGGGGGCACTGGGGAGGCTTAGGCACTCCAGTACTGAATAGTCAGCTCAGTGTCTCAGTCTGAGTCTGAGAGCCAGTTTCCCAAGTGGGGACAAGGCAGTGACCCACAATTTACATTGGTTGGTGCACCCCAAGTCAATGGCAGGCCCTGTGTCCACTAGGTCCCCACAGGGTCTAATGGGGTCCAGTGTTGACAAGGGGACTGAGGTAGCTGGGAAGTGTTTTCAAGTGTGTGGGAAGAGGGATGGAGGTATCATAGGATGTATATCATCTTATGTACATTCCAGGATCATGTACATCTTTTTAGAGGTGCTTTTTAGTTTCAGTGATGCCAATTTCTTTGCCACTGACTAGCTAGAGGTGTCCATGTCATCCAGAAAAGGTTTGTCAAAGTTGCCAAGCATCATAGGCACCCTGCTCATCCTGCCATCCTTAAGAACCCTTCTAAGACCCTTTAACCAGGGCCATCCCTTAAAACCCTTTTCTTTCTGAGCTTGACACCCACAAACTTATGAGTATTTTGTGCAAACTTTCAAGGTCACTCAGACATGCATGATGCCCTAAAAAGTCCCATGAATGGTGCCACCTCAGTGGTCATATGGTCCTGGAGGTGAAAAAATGATATGACCATCAGATCTTTTGTGTCTGGTATATTTCAGCACCATTTCTGCCATAGGCCGACATGGCAGAGTCATGGTGGATATCAGACTGGAAATTGAATGAATTAAATATGGTGCATCAGCCATACATGTAAATTAAGTAAACAATGCACTATCATGGACAAATATGCAAGAACGCTTCCAACGCCAAGAACAAGGAAGGGCCAAAACATGAGCACATAACAATATTTGAGTTTGGAGAACATGCTCCAGCAAACATTGCTACCTCTTGCAAGTTGAAGTACTATAATTGAGTCAACCTGTCCCCTACAGTGGCAGTTCTGATGCCGCCAGTCTAGCAGTGGGAACAGGAGGGTGAGGTAGGGATTGTTAGGCATCAGGCTTCTCTCCCACCATAAACTCTGAGCTCCAGTTCTCCCATCTTGCCTTTGTGCCAGCAGTTCTGGCAATTCTTGATCCCCCCAAGGTGTGTTATTGAAAGCAACCTGAGGACTGTTCTCATTGACCCTTGCAGCTTTGTGGAAGGCTCCAGAGTCTGGACATGCTCACAATCTCCAGGTTAACTGCTAATGCATCCCTTAATTCTGTGTGTATTCCATCCTGGCATGGGTGCTTGATGGCAATGCAGTTCCAGAGTTTCCTCTTGCGTCCCAGTGCTTCATCCATGTGTGTTGGCCCTTACATTATCCCTGTGTGTGACCATTCATGTCGTGAGATCAGACAAATATTATGTGGTTTGATGCAGCTTACCAGTTGCAGTTAAGTGAAGTTGGAATCCAATCAACTCCAATAATACTACACTCAGTAATGTTAAAAATTTTGTAATCAATTCAAATGATTTTCTTGTGATACTGTCATGGCATGCATACATTATCTTAGTACCAAATGCCAGTCACTGCTTGTTTTTCACTTAAGGTACTGGTTTGGCTCATATGCAGGTTGTTGCTGGCATCTGGTATTTGGGGGGCAATCAGGGCATGTCAGTAGAGGTTTATTTGTTAAAAAAAACATGTGCATCATACTGTGTGGTATATTTGAGATTGTTTTGCACATTTTCTATTTCAGATTTTTGATGAAGCTCAGCCATGAAACAGTCACCATAGAATTGAAAAATGGAACTCTGGTTCATGGAACAATTACAGGTGAGCAGGGCATCCAACCATGACATCCTGCATAAAAGTGTTGCTGCTAATTCTGTCATTTGTGAACCCCAGTAACACTTCCCCTCTCTGAGTTAATCCATTTGTGTGTGCTGCTTGGATGCTCTTTGTCAGTATGTTGCCTTCTTAAACATGTGTCCCACATATGCAGCCAACAACTGAGCTCAGTTTCACTCCTCGTGACCAACCAGGTGTGGATGTGGCGATGAACACGCACTTGAAGGCGGTAAAGATGACGCTGAAGAACCGGGAACCGGTTCAGCTTGACTCTCTCAGCATCCGCGGCAACAACAATCCGCTACTACATTCTACCGGACTCGCTGCCGCTGGAGACGCTGCTCATCGACGACACGCCCAAGATGCGTTCGCGGCGCGCCGACCGCGGCGGACGGGGTACGCTGGCCGGTCGGGCCTCGCCGCGCCCCCGCTCGCGCCGCTGCCGCGCACGGCCTGTCTCACCGGAGCTGGGAGGGATTGTGTGCAGTTGATGAGACTGTAGGGGGTCGGGAAAGTGGCCATGAAAACCTAGGCTGGTTTGTTCTTTGGGCTGGGATGTCGTTCATTACGCATCGTCTGCTCACAAACCGGCTTTGCGTTGATTTGCTCCTAGAACACGGGAACTCGATTGGTGGCTGACGTTTGAACGAGCATGGTATATTAAGTGACCCATTACCAGCCAGCTAAAACATCGGATTCCTTCGTAACGCCGTTGCCCCGGCTATGCTCTGACGTTCGCCCTCCACTTCGCGATTGTGAGTGTTCTCCCGGCACTCCCCCCCCCCCCCCCTTTCCCGTTACTGGCGTGGTGTCCTTTGCCCACACTGGCCCCGTCGGTGCTCCAGCCCGGCACCCCCGTAGCGTGTGCTGGCCACTCCCGTGACTACTTTCGCCAGCGCTCCGTGACCGGTGCCGTTCTGACGTGGCGTTCTGTGCCGGCAGGCGGACCCCGTGGCCGCGGCCGGGGCGGGCCGCGCGGCCGCGGCGGCCGGGGCGGTCCGCGAGGGCGGGGGCCGCGCCCGCCGCTAGTCCCGCCCCCCAGCGCCGTCCCACCAATCATCGTCACCGTCGCCTCGCCATTCAGTATCGCCCGCCCGGTCGGCCGTGGCTGCAGCGCGCGGGCCTCCGCGACCGGCGCCCCAGTTCCGCGCGCCGTGTACTCCCCGCTTGCGCCGTAACGTGAGTCCCCTCCACGGAAATCCAGGAACGGGCCCGCGCGCATCCTGGAGTGGGCGGGAAACTAGAGAGATGGGCAGGATGCGCGCGCGGCTCGCCGGCGGACAGATCAGGGATCGCTGATGACGGGTGCGTCACGTTCGAATACATGGAGGGAAACCCGAGAGAACGGGGTGCGTGTGCCTCGCCAGTTGGCGCTCTTATCGCGACATCTCCGCCTTAGGGGCGCGACTGGAGTGGCGATCTGCAGCAGCTGTGAGCAGGCGGAACCCTGCCAGGCTCGCCATCGGTTTCATCACTCGCAAGGGCCTGATCGGTGTTTGGCTTCCGATGCAGAAACTGAAGTCGCACATCGGACGCCGAGTGTGACGGAGTTTTATTGGCGCTTCCGCCATGGTGGGGGGTCACCAGGCACGGTCGGCGCGGAACACTGCCCACACACCTGACGGTTCCGCCCTTGGGTCTGCATACTGACTTCAGCTGAAATCTATATGTAAAGAATGGTTTGGTAAAAAGCAATCACGGCGGAAGACATACACGAATCGCTTATCACGTCTTGGTGGGGTGCTTGTACAATCGATCTTTGTACGCACGATGAAGATTACACAGTCCACCGTTATCACCACGCGGTCATCTGTTGGCCATCCTGCGCAGCTATTAGTAGCGCCATCACTGCGGCCGACGAGTAGCGTCGCATCGTAGGAACTCCCCCGTCGACTGCCCCGAAGCCTGGCAAGCCAAAATCACTGCAAAGCTGAGCTCCAGCTCTTGGATACATGCGAGCCCCAACAGACGGGCAGAGCTTGACACGCGCCCCACCCTCCGCATTACACTTCCCGCCAGGGTAATGAGAAACTTTGCCATGACCTATCTGAGATACAGTTTTCAACCCGTTTAAGTTGTCCTTCCCGTCGTCCCACGCACTGTTATCAAAATTGTTAGCGGATGTTTGGTAACTGCACACACGGAACAAGCGGTATCAAAAACACTCCCACTCTTGCCACGGTCGCGCTGTGGCGACGCCATCAAATGCCCATCGATTCGTCCCTCGTTCTGACGTCACTAGTCAGGCGACCAATCACTGGAGCTAAATTCTCAAGAGCCATGAACAGGCGACTGACGCCGCCCTGTCAGCTCCTCCCTCTGTGCGCCGCCATCCTCCGCACATCCTCCAACCCAGTTGGCGTCTCACGCGGGCACCGGCCCCCCGACGCCCGTCACAGACTTGTGACGCCACTGGCCAACACGCGCGACGTCACTCGCAGTCACGCGTGGGACGTCGTCGCTGGCAGCTCAGACGGCGTAGTTGGCACAGTTCTGGCGGAGCGGCAAGCGGCGCGTCGCCGACGGTGACCTCAAGCCCGTCGGGGTCGACGCTGACGCTGTGCACGCTGAGCCGCTCCTCGGCCGGGCCGAGCCGCTCCAGCGCCCGCCCGCACGGCGTCCGTCTGGTCCGGCTGCCGGGTCAGCACCAGCAGGAAGCCGCCGCCGCCGGCACCCATTCTCGTCTGCCGGAGGAGGCCGCGGTCGGGGGGACGAGATGCCGTGTCGGGTGGGGACGTCTGAGACTGCTCCGGTGATTCCTGACCGCTTCCACGCACCCGAAGTGTTCGGCGTGGGGTCCGGCGGCGGGGTGGTGGATGCTTGGCACACTATGCATTGAACATGTGTGAGGGACTCGGTGGGCGCGAAGCCACACGGGCTGCTGGATTGAAAACCGCGACCATTCAGAACAGCGGCTGACTCGCACCGCTGTCGCTTTTAACCGTGACGTTCGCCTGGCGTGTCTGAACGGCACGGGTGCGGCTCTCCAGCCCCGTGCAGCTGGCGGCCAATACTGGCCGGGTCCCGCATGCGCTCCGGGGCGAGCCGCAGTGACCGTGTACATCATGTGCCCGGGCCAATGGTTCGGGACCAGGAAGCGCACCCGCAGCCACACCCGCGCACCCGCAGCCACACCCGCGCACCGCACCTCGGCCACACCCTCGCACCCACCCACCCCCGCACCCGCATCACACCCCCTCGCACCCCATCACACCCTCGCACCCACAGCCACACCCCTCTCACCCGCAGCCACCCTCACCCGCATCACACCCCTCACCCGCATCCACACCCTCGCACCCGCTCCACACCCGCTCACCCTCGCCACACCCTCGCACCCACAGCCGCACTCGCGCACCCACACTCCCAACCCTGACGCCAGGGTCGGCAAGATCTGGCGCACGCCTACTCGGTTTGGTTCGTCATTCGACTCACGGCGCCGAGTAGCAGCGGCCGCAGCGTGACCAGGATCTTCTGCACCACCTCCGGCAGCGCCGACGGCGTCAGCTCGTTTTTCTGGCTGTTGTAGACGTTCATGCGGTCCCCGACCGCCTGCAGGTCACCTGCGCATCCGCGTCGAATGACGTCACAGGCCATTGGGATAGACTCGAAGGTGGGGACTACTCGAAAGGCTGGAGTAAGCGCGGTAATGCACCACGATAAACTTCGCCAACAGTTTAAAGAGAGGGTAATTTTCGGGCAAAATTTGGCTACACCGACGCATTCCAATCAGACATGCCCGATCCGAGGTACTGAGCCAGCTACCTAAAAGTATTCATTAGAAGTTCAGATTTGCTCACTAGAAACACGATTTGGCTTACCCTGGTGATGCAAGTCCGCTTTCCATCATTACGGTGACCACCATACCAGCCTACGCAATGCAACGTTCGTGTGACAGCCTCCGAAGGCGAAACTTTTCCTTCGAACATGATCGCCGCACACAACCCAACCCGTGGCGCCCCGCCACGACTGCTGCAAGGCTCATCGCCACCCCTGAGGAAGCTCTCCGCCTCCGCGTCCACCCCGTCGCTCCATCGGCACCTCTTCCCCGCCCGTCGCCCCAGCGCCCCAGCGTCCCGGCGGCGGGGACACCTACCCTCGGTGAGGGCGGCGCGCATGGCGCGCGCGTTCTCCACCAGCCGGCGGAAGGTGGCGACCAGGCGCGGCTCGCGCGCGTACCAGTTGCGCACCACCGTCTGCAGCAGGTTACGCGCCAGTCGCACGCGGCCCGTGAACACGAGCGCGCAGTGGCGCGCCAGCACGGCCGGAAGGTGGCGCGGCACCGCCAGCCACTCGACGCCTGACGGCCGGAGACAGGGCTCACCAGGGGAGCCGACCATAAGGTGGGGCAGGCGGCGAGGTGAAGCGCGGCGCACGTCCGAAGAAAGTCATTGCGAAAGTGGGAACAGTCTGGGGAAGGTTTGAAACGGGGACACACTTGAGAGGTCTGGAGGGCGATGGCAAGCGCGACAGCACTGAGCAATGTTCAGCATTAAGCGAGACCCAGGGGCGCTGCAGCTCCGTCCGCGCCCAGCCAGCGGGACGCGTTCAGACGGTCTCGGCGACCCCCACACCCCGCCGACCCGGGTCCCGCACGCACCGACGGCGAAGGGGACACCCTTGTCGGGCGACGGGGAGGAGCAGGCGAT